AACAATTGGTACCTTTTTATGGGCTTTGTGGGCAACATAGAAAAGGGGGTGCGCCAGTTTTACAGATTACCCTGATTACATACTATTGTATGCACATTTAAAGTCCGTTTCAAACCTGCATGATGAGAGCGACATGATGCTCTTGTCCCTGGATATTAGTAAGGCTTTTGATACATTGTCCTGGCCCTATTTTATGTCTGTCTTCTGCCTTTATGGTTTTGGTCTCCAGTCCTTTCTGGGTTGGATCTCAGCCTTATTATACATCCCCACAGGCTAAACTTAAATATTACGGCCTTGAATCCTCGACCTTTCCTCCATCTTCCCCCACAGGGACCACCCACTCCCTCCTAGATTGTAAGCTCCAAAGAGCAGGGCCCGCATTCTCCATTTCTATTTATTCTGGCATTGGAACCATTGGCGGAGGCCATCTGAACTCAACCAGATGTCACGGGGCTAGATGTGGCAGGCTCGCAACATAAAATTTCATTGTTTGCTGATGATATACTATTGACATTAATGAACCCTGGAGTCACCTTTTTGAATTCGATCTCAGTCCTGGACACGTTTTCTTCCCTTTTGGGCCTTTATGTTAATCCTGCCAAATCTAAAGCTATGTCCATAACCCTCCCTCCACCACTATTAGCAAGGGAAAATTAGTTTCCCTTTGAATGGCTCCCAGCGCTGCCATATTTGGGTGTCAGACTCACCCCATCTTACGATGGATTTTCCAAGCCAATTTCCCTTCATTATTTAAAGAATTGACAGACATGTTATCTTCATGGGCTCATTTCCCATTATCGTGGTTTGGTAGAATTAACACGATTACTTATCTTCCCAAATTACTATACGTATTTTGTGTCTTGCCAGTTCCTCTTCCCCTACACATCTTACGTATTCACCAATATAAATAAATAAATAAACTCCTGACATTTATCTGGGGCTCTTCGCATCCTAGAATTAACAAACAGATTTTTTATTTGCTCATAAGATTAATGGAGGTCTATCCATTCCAAACCTTCATGCCTACTATCTGGCAACTAATATCGCCCCTCTTTCCCACCTTCATGAATCCCAAACTATCCCTTTGTGGGCCACAATAGATCAGATGGATTCTCACTCGACGCCGCTTCGAACTCTACCGTGTCTCCCCCATACTCGTCGTCCTACTCCTACCCCTCAGTCCGACATTAACACCCACACTACGACTATGGGATTCCATTAAGTATTCAGCAGGTCTCATTTCATCTCATCTTCTCTTAATGTGACTTCTCCATAATCCATTAATCCCCCGGGTCTTGACAACCCAGGACAATTCACGTGGTGGGGGGCCCATGGTTTCAATGACGTTCACTCTTTACTCTCCCCTACTAGGAGTCTCACCTTTGATACCCTTCGGTAGTCCCATAACAACCCACTGCAGGAGCATTTTTGCTACCTTCAACTTTGCCATTTTATCACTACACTACTATGTGCACAACCCAAGCCGTACAGATTGACTCTTTTTGAAAGCCTCTGTAGAACCATACCTCATTCTTCGGGCCTGATATCACTGATCTATTCTTCCATTATCTCTTATAGAAAGCTCCCGCTATGACCCTATCACCAACATTGGCAAACTGAATTGGGGGGTCAACTTAACTAGCATGATTGGAAGATCATGACCCAAACGTTATCTAAATGCTCGAAGAATATACTTTAGATTGTATGCTCCTTGAGGGTTAGGGACTGATGTGAATGTACAATATATGTATGTAAAGCGCTGTGTAAACTGACGGCGCTATAAAAGCACCTGAAATAAATAAATTAATGTCCTTATTTTAGAAAATGCCTACAAAATCCTCTATAGGTGTTACTATACACCAGCTCAACTTTCCCGTTTCATCCCATCTTAATGACCAAATTGCTTCCGGGGTTGCCAACAGATTGGTACCATGGCCCACATTTGGTGGTCCTGTGCCAAGGTATGTAGACTCTGTGTCAGGGTATATGTCCTCCTTCGCACTATGTTTCATGCAAATATTAAACACAACCCTTATGAGGCACTTTTATTTAAACCAGTTGCAGATATACTTCGGCCCAAGCGACAACTGGCATCACATTTATTTACAGCGACAATTGCAAAAGCATGGAAGACCCCCATCTCAATTTTCAAAGAAGTCAAAAATCGGATGAACTTTATAATACTTAATGAGAGGTTAACAGCTATACTGCTAGACACACATGATATGTTCCTCTGGATTTGGCAACCTTGGATTAACATAGCCCAGCCATCTAGATTTGACAACACCCTTCTGTCGCTTTAATGACTGATCCCCCAGGAACCTTTTTCCTTTTCTTTCATTTTTTCTCATCTGCTCTTCTTTTTCATTCTGTAATTGAGCTGAATATGATTTTTCTTTTTGGTACCTGAAGTGTTTTGTATAATCGCTGGACCCATTCTGGGCCCAAAGGATTGGTGCGCACTTCTCTTATGGGGTTATACATAACGATTTGCATGCTGTTCTCATGCCTGCCTACAGATTCAAACTGATGAATCTTAGGCCTTCACATGCTATTCAATACTGCACTTTGTTATGTATCTCGTCATTTAATTCCACATTGTAATTGCATTTTTTGTTTGCTTCTGTAACTCAGTGCATTTATTCTGCTTTATGTTAACTAGAGGAACTGTGTGTTTATTTCCTCTTCGCTGTTATTTCTACCTTTGGATTTATCTGATGCCTTGACACTATCAATAAACTCCATTGTAGAAGAAACATGCATCAATGCATTACAATAATGCACATTAACCCGTCTCAGTACAGATGCCGTAATACTTCCACTGTGATGTGAACCAGCCCTTAGGCTTCAATTACTCTTGCAGATGGGGGGTGATAAAAACAGCAGTTTAGTCTTGTTTTTTACTGGGCCCCAACCACTTAGCCCCCATCACGTTAGGCGGGCAGTACCGCCCACCAAATGTGAGCCATTCAACTGTAAACGAGACCTTAAAGCGAAGCTCCACCCAAAAGGAAAAGTTCCACTTTAAGTACTGGTCCCCTTCTCTGTAACCTTTGGGGAGTGGGGGGTATCCGATTTTGACTGGTACCCTCTACTAGTTTCGGTGCGACTTCCTAGGTGATCGGAAGCAGAAGTTGTCCTCCCTCCCCGTAGTCTTCTGGGACACATGACAAGTCCCAGAAGACTACGGGACCATTCATAAGGAGCAGCGCTGCTCGTGGGCACCCGGCTGTGAGGCCGCAAGCTGTAACAGCCGAGTGCCCACACTTAGGATGAAAGGAACTGGCTGCGTTGAGTGAACCGCTGGATTGTGGAACAGGTTAATGGCAGTTTTTGTAGCGGATGACTTTTATTTTTTTTTAGGTTTTTTTTTTTTTTTGGTTTCACTGGAGCTCTGCTTTAATTTCTAAAACTCATGAGGTCTGGCAGAGTGCTGCCTGACATCTGTCCCCCGTTATCAGAATATTTCTGCTCCTTGTAATGTAGCAGTGATCATTAGAAAGATTTCTTCCATGTGTGGGACCTAGTATAGTCCTGGCTTTGTGTCATCCAGCATCGCAGTGCCGATTCCTGTCCTGACCACCTGCCCCTTATCTGGTGCTACACCTGGCAGCACCAGCACATATGCAGAAGCTGATGTTATCTCCAAACTGGGCCTACGCAGCACAACGGTGTGGTCCATAGTAGACATGTGCAGAATGAACAAATTTGTTTTGTTTATTCATTTTCAATAGATTAAAACTTCTGCAATGGATTTGAAGATTTCAAATCACATTGAATCGAATTTGAAACAAAAATATCAAATCAATCTGAATTCATTGTGAAGAATAGCTGGTTGTATTTTATTTGATATTCGAAATTCTGAAGACAATTATATTCTTTCTATTCTATTCTTTTTTTTTCCATTCTGTCCTTTTCCATTCTATTTTATTATTTTATTTTCTATTCTATTCCTATTCTATCATTTTCTATTGTATTTTTTTTTTATTTCTATTCTATCCTTTTCTATTCTATTTTTTATTTTTCTATTCTATTCTTTTATTTTCTAGTCTATTATGTTCTTTTCCATTCTATTTTATTATTTTATTTTCTATTCCATTCCTATTCTATCCTTTTCTATTTTATTTTTTTATTTCTATTCTATACTTTTCTATTCTATTTTTTCTTTTCTTTTCTATTCCATTCTGTTCTATCCTATTCTACTCTTTTTGTATTCTATTCTATTCAAATCTATTCTATTATATTCTTTTCTATTCTATTCCTTTCCTTTCTATTCTATTCTTTTATATTCTAGTCTGTTCTGTTTTATTTTATTCTATTCTTATTTTCTATTTGAAATTCAAATTATTATTATACAGTATTTATAAAGCGCCAATAGTTCGCTCAGCGCTGTACATTACAATGGGGGACAGAACAATAACAATACAATACAATACAAAACATAAGGGGATCGAGGGCGCTGCTCTTTCGAGCTTACAATCTAGGAGGGAGGGGATGGTGGCACAGGAGGAGAAAGCTGTGGCGGATGGAGTGGTAGGAAGAGTGGAGGAGGTCGGCAAGTTAGCAGGGGGTGGGGTAGGAATGTCGGAAGATGGCTATTCTAACAATAATACACATAGTCTATGAAGGAAATCAGCAATAGTCAGCAATATGTTTACATTACGAATTTGTTTTCAAATTCAATTTCATTTTCACATTCAATCTGAATTCAATTCAAATTTGGGACAAAATTTAATTTTGTTATTTCAGATTCATTTAAATTTTTTACAATTGTAATTCAAAAATTCAGATATATCTAAACAACAAAAGTTTTGGGCGAATTGCGATTTAGAATGAAACAAGACACACATGTCTATTTGACAGTATGCTTGCTGGATGTGCTGTTATTGGGGAAAACATGTCCCCTACCATTGGTTTGTGTGGCCCTACCTGCTTCTCATTGTAGAATCTTTTATATAAGGAAATGACGGATGCGAGGTGGTTCTCTCATTTCTGGGAGAATGTCATATACGGGGGCGCGCAGTGCGGCGATCGGTGGTATGTTGTGTCCCTGGGACACAGTGGATCACCAATCAGCGGAAAGAGCCGATGATGTCAGCTCTGTCATGTGATCAGTTGTGTCCAATCACAGCTGATCACATGTAAATAAGGAAATGCCAGTTATCAGCATTCCTCTCCTCACCAGCTGTCACTCAGTGGGGACATGTACACTGATCATTAGGGTACTGATGATCAGTGTAGCCCCATCAGTGCCACCTGTCAGTGTCCATCAATGCCACCTGTCAGTGCCCATCAGTGCCACATCAATGCTACATATCAGTGCTTACCAGTGCACATCAATGCTACATATTAGTGCCCATCTGAGCTGCCTTTCAGTGCCACCTATCACTGGTGCCAGTCAGTGCCGCCTATCAGTGCTGCCTGTCAATGCTGCCTATCAGTGCCAGTCAGTGCCGCCTATCAGTGCCCAGCAGTGCCACCTATCAGTGCTGCCTAACAGTGCCAGTCAATGCCGCCTAACAGTGCCAGTGCCGCCTATCAGTGCCAATAAGTGCTGCCTATCAGTGCCGCCTATCAGTGCCATATATGAGTGCTGCCTTTCAGTGCCCATCAGTGATGCCTGTCAATGCCCATCAGTGCCACCTATCAGTGCCCATCAGTGCAGCCTCATTAGTGCACGTCAGTGAAGGAGAAGAATCACTTATTTACAAATTTTCTAACGGAAACTAAGAAAAAACATTTTTTTTCAAAATTTTTAAGTTGTTTTTGGTTTGTTTAGCAAAAAATTAAAATTAAAAAAATTAAATTAAAATCACCCAGAGGTGATTAAATACCACCAAAAGAAAGCTCTGTCTGTCTCAAAAAAATGATAAAAAACTCATATGAGTACAATGTTGCATGACTGCGCAATTGTCATTCAAAATGTGAGAGCACTGAAAGCTGAAAATTGTCCTGGGCATGAAGGGGGTAAAAGTGCAAGTAGCTAAGGAGGTGAATGGAATGCCTGCGCTTTTAGGGCTCATCCACATCAGCAATCTGCACTAATCGCACAGCCATTGGTTTGCTTTGGGAGACACAGTGCCGATGCACTGATCCCAGCACATTGCACATTTCACAGGACTTTAAAGAAATGTTACTAGTCACAATACAGTTCTATTCACCAGAGCAGCTTGGCATTGAGGTGGATCACATCACAACTCACGCTGCTGGAAAAGGTACTACAGTGCTGTTTTTCAGTGCACATGCAGGTCACAGCAGGGGGGTTCGCTGCCCAGCACCCCACATGTAGGTGGAGTAGAGATAGGATCTACATGTGGGTGCCATGGCACAGGATGACAGCTGCTTGGGCACTTTCTCTCCCAGTGTTTAAGTGGTGTGGGCTGATGGGAGGCAGGGAGTGATGGGATAGGGAGCCCTGTAAAGTAGATTTTTATAGTCAGTTTAATTTTGATTACTTTTATTTAATTTGATATAATACTTTACATACTTTCTGTATAATTACTAGATGATTATTGTGTAAAAGGAGTGCTTCTAAATTCAGAGAAGTCATGTTCCTCTTGGTGTTCAGGAATCCAAATGAGAGACAGAGAGAAAGGAATTCCAATGAAAAGTATATTTCAGCACCATAGACAGCGCCACACTAGCCGTATTGTAGGTATATTTCACTAATGCTGTCTAATGCACTAGAGCGGTGGTCTCCAAACTGGTGCCTGAGGGCCACATGCAGACCTCTGTTTGCTTTCATCCGGCCTTGGGCAACATTTCATCCTCTGACACCAACAGTGGGGCTTAATTGCTCCCATTGACACGAACAATGGGGCACAATTCCTCCTAAAGACACCAATGATGGGACACAGTTCCTACCAGTAACACTAATGATGGGGCACACATTCTCCTGATAGGGCATGATTCATTCCACCCAATGACCCCAACATTGGAGCACAATTCCTCTTAGAGAAGATGGGGCATTGTTTATTCCTACTGATGCACCGGACATTTTCTACTTCTGATGGCCATGATCTCACCCCCCTAAAGTCTAAAGGACAGTAAACTGGGTCTTTGTTTGGAAAATTTGGGGACCTCTGCACTAGAGCAGGGGTGGTCAACTTTCTTGATATGGACAGAGACTGCAGACATAATACAAAAGATGGAAAGAGACTGTGGACAAATTCCAAGCAATGGTCAGAGACTGCAGACCTAACGCAAGAGATAGTCAGAGACTGTGGACATAAAACAATTGATGGTCAGAGACTGTGGACATAATACAATTGATGGTCAGAGACTGCGGACCTTATGTAAGAGATGGTCAGAGACTGTGGACATAATACAATTGATAGTCAGAGATTGCGGACCTAATGTAAGAGATGGTCAGAGAATGTGGACATAATACAATTGATGGTCAGAGACTGCGGATCTTATGTAAGAGATGGTCAGAGACTGTGCACATAATACAATTGATGGTCAGAGACTGTGGACCTAATGTAAGAGATGGTCAGAGACTGTGGACATAATGCAACTGAAGGTCAGAGACTGCGGACCTAATGTAAGAAATGGTCAGAGACTGTGGACATAGGTGTCCGTTTATGACACACAGAATAGCTGAGATTCAGAGGATCACAGCTATTCTCTGGTCATTCACAGTTTATAACACCCAGGAGAATATGTTCAGCCCTTCTCTGGAGATCTGTGTTCTCCCTCCAGATTCTCCAGCCCAGAGCTGGAGAATCGGAGGGACCGAAAACTAGGCAGCGATAATTTACCTCTGCTTAGTAAACTGATCTTTTACCGTAATCTCGCGAGATTATAGTAAAATCAGCCGTTTTCGAGAGTTTGTAGACCATTCTCCAGTGTTTGTAGACCGTTCTCCAGCGTTTGGAGATCGATCTCCCTTCGTTCGGAGAACTGCTTCATAAACTGCATTCACAGGAGAACTGTGTTCTCCGAGAATGCCGCAGAACTGAGCAGCGATCTATTACCGCTGGTTCATAAACAGACACCATAATACAATTGATGGTCAGAGACTGCAGATCTAATGTAAGAGATGGTCAGAGACTGTGTACATAATACAAGTGATGGTCAGAGACTGTGGATATAATACAAGTGATGGTCAGAGACTGAGGACCTAATGTAAGAGATGGTCAGAGACTGGACATAAAACAATTGATGGTCACAGACTGTGGACATAATACAATTGATGGTCAGAGACTGCACACCTATTGTAAGAGATGGTCAGAGACTGTGGACATAATACAATTGATGGTCAGAGACTGCGGACCTAATGTAAGAGATGGTCAGAGACTGTGGACCTAATACAAGTGATGGTCAGAGACTGTGGACATAATACAAGTGATGGTCAGAGACTGTGGACATAATACAAGTGATGGTCAGAGACTGTGGACATAATACAAGTGATGGTCAGAGACTGAGGACCTAATGTAAGAGATGGTCTGAGGCTGCAGACATAATGCAGGAGACTGTCAGAAACTGTGAACATGTTATTAGCGCTGCTGGAGACTGGGGCCTTGCTTCAGGAGACAGTCATAGGCTGGAGACATATTACATGTCATGGTCAAGGCACAATGGCATCACTCCCATGCATGCGTGCAGGAGTCATTTATTACGGCACACATCTCTGAAGGAACGGCACAAGCATGCAGGTGCATGTTTAGGAGATATTAACAGTACCTACAGGTAAGATTTATTATAGCTTTACCTGTAGGAACAAGTAAAAAACAGACTTTACTACCACTTTATTATCAGCTGCAGCTGGGAGCAAGTCCAAAACTACTCAGAAATGTAGCGCTCGCATGTTCCTTTATATAAGAATTTTTCACCATAGAATTACGTGTGGTATAATATGATTGGTTGTCAAAACGTACGTCAATGCAATTAACAGAAATATAAAAAACAATGAATGCCTGCACATGCAGACCATGATGTCTGGAGCTGCCTGAATTCTATCCCAGGGAACTTTTCCCCAGTAAACTTATGACTTTTGTCTTCAATCAAAAAGATACCAAAATGAAGTACAGAAGTCGTATTTTACTGTTAAATTTATAGAAATAATTACTACTGCTTATCAATACTAATTATTGCTAGTTATTAATACATACACTAATTAATATCAATAAAATGAACTATATGAGCTAATATGAATTCCAATGACATTCCATAACACTACCCACCAGTTCAAATTTCAGCAAAGGTCGCCCAAAATTTGAGCCATCTTTGAGGGCCTTTCTTTCTCCCCTGTTCAGTCATTCAGTCTAATTGCTAACTGACTGACCCCCTTTAACCAGTTCCCACCCAGCCATTAGCAAAATGACAGCTGAGCGGGACTTTTGTCGATCCGGGTAAGCATCATATGATGTCCTCTTGTGTGCCTGTGGGGCCGCACTGTGGCCAATCACAGATATTCACAACAAAAAAAAACCTGAATAAATCCATTTTATTCAGGTAAATGTTTGCTTATAGCAATGAAATTCTTTGCTAAAAGCACTCATAATGTGTAAAAAAAAACAAAACAAAAACAAACACTTATTTCCTCGGAGTAGTACAATGTTTCTAGGGTAACATTATACTACTCACACTGGTCACAGTGTGTTATGAAGAAAAAATCTTAAACAAAAGAAAAATAATAATAATCAATAAAAAAATTTAAGAAAATTATAATTTTTTTTGTGTACTGTCACCATTCAGTGTCCCTTACCACTGCCACACCAGTTATATGATGATGCTGTACTGCACTGGTGACAGTATGTAAAAAAAAAAAAAAAGAAGTTAATTTTTATTTCAATTTCTTCCTTTTCCAAAAAATTATGACAAAAAATTAAAACTTCAAAAAAACTTGCCATGCCTCTTACTAAATACCTCAGACTGTCTACTTTGCAAAAAAGGGGTCATTTGGGGGGATATCTGTACTATCACGACATGTTTGGGCCTCAAGAAATTATATTGGTCTCCAGTACTTCAGGACTGATTGGGTTTCAGATGTATACCATAGTTTGTGGACTCTATAACTTTTCTTCAGACTAAATAATAAATACTGGTTTGGGTTATTTTCACAATAGAAATGTAGCAGAATACATCTTGGTCTAAATTTATGAAGAACAATTATTATTTCCAAAATTTTAAAACAGAAACTAAGAAAATGTATTTTTTTTTTTTCAAAATTTTCAGCCTTTTTTTGTTATTTAGCAAAAAATAAAAAAAAACAGTGGTGATTAAATATCACCAAAGAATCCTCTAGTTGTGTGAGCAAAAAATGTAAGTTTAAAAATGTATAAAGTGTATAAAAATGTAGTTTGGGTACAGCGTTGCATGACTGCGCAATTGTCATTTAAAGTGCAGGAGCGCTGAAAGCTGAAAATTGGCAGGAAGGGGTAAAAGTGCCCGGTATTGAAGTGGTTAATAACATCTCTGTGATGTGGCAAAACACATATAAGCATTTTTTTCCTTATTTGTGTTTTTTTTCTGTAAAATAATTAAGCTAATGAGAGGCCATTTTTTTGGCGCAAGAAGCAGTCCAGTTGAAATGATCTTCCGTAACCCTCAGGAGACATTTACAGCCCATCACATCCTCACCAAACACTGTCATTTTGCCCTCCACATTGACTCCAATACATCTCTCTAAAAAACCTGAATTTTAACAAAATCTTTTGATTGCTACCAAAATGTTGGGTAAAT